TATTATTTTCGTCGTATGATTTTTTTTTGTTGGAATATTGAGATTTTAGTAATAAAATTTTATGTTGCTGAATTTATCGAGCATCTGCTTATAAGACTAAACATTATAATTGCGCAAAGATAGAAAAATTCCAAGTGCATCCTAATGGTATGCGTTAAAAAGTTTTTCATATCTCGCACATTTTCATGATAATTCGTACAAAATAATAACTTTTTCGTCTGGGTATAACATCTTATATCCAGACGTTTCTCGTTTCCTTCTCCTTTGTGACATCTATAAAAGAGAGAAAAAACAAGAGAGAAAAAAGAGCGAGAAAAAAAGAAGAGAAAAAAGAAGAAAGCGAGAACGAATGAATGTAAGAAGTGAGAGAGAGAGAGAGAGAGAGAGAGAGAGAGAGAGAAAGATAGAAACAAGTGAATCGAAAGAGCGAGAGGTTGCGGGGATTTTGGTATGGGATTGGGAGGGGAGGGGGGGGGGGTGTGGTAATTCAGGATTTGGAAAGGCAGCGCGGTTTATTATAAGAAGAGCGCCGAGGCGTCGAGGAGAATTCGTGCGAATACACTTTTAGCGAATGGAAAGGAAGAGAAAGGATCTTGGATAGAGGAAGCGCAATGAGAAAAGGAGTATCCACATATTGCCCGATGCTTATCTTCTTCGCCGAGGCCTTTGTTCGAAAAGAGAAACGCCGCCACGATCTCGGAGACACTTTTCCCTATTCGCATTTTATTCGCGGCCTTTGTTGCGCAAAAGGCAGAAATGAACATTGACTTTCTTCGAGTTGCCTGCAGTTGGGATGTTAATGGGGCGTGCGCGATTTTGCCCGCCCGATCAATTTCTTCCTAGCTGACACTGCTTGTACTCAACCATGTAACGACGATCCAAGCGATAGTTTTCGATTAACGGCCTGAGAGTTCGTAAGTGATTGAGAATGACGGGAATACACATGGTAATGTTTGCCAGTCCCATAATGGCGAGCTTTTTCTTACGGTGAGTGTTGTGTGTCGAGTATTACGCTAGTGGGGGTGAAAGAGTACGAGAGTTGTTTATGGACGAATGATTTGAGCGTGGAGCATTGGCGACCGTTCGAGGTCTCTCACACGAAAGATTTAATCTTCCTTCTTCATTAATGCCGAGAGTGTCTTTCGTTGCGAGTCACTATCCTTCTCATTGATATAAATTTGGAAAAAAGTGATTTTACGAAATTTTTTTTGTTTTTTTTTTTGTTTTTTTTTTTGTTTAATTTTTTTGTTTTGTTTTTGTCCCTTTTGTTTTTCATGGAAATGTAATGGACTGCGTTTCCACGAGTACCTTTGTAATAGGAGAGTCATTTTTCACATTTTATTGCAAACGAAAGGATCAAATTTGAGAAAATTTATATTTCTTAATGCTTTACAGGTCAGGGTGAAATCGTAAAGTTTCAACCACATAATTTATTTGAAAAAATGAAAAATTTATCCGCTGCTTTTTTCTTCATACTCGCTAGAGCATATTTCCTTATTTCCTTGATAAAATATTAGCCGGTCGTGGATAATCGCTTTTAGCCTGTAACAAAATTATGCTATCTTAATTGCATAACAGAATATCTGATATAACTAAAATATTTGTTAACCAGCGCCTGTATATTGTAAAGAGCTTAAAAGTCTTGGGGATTACTTGAGGGAAGTGCGATTGGTTATCATTATTGGGGATCAAGATTTCGGCGAATAAAATTAATGGAATGTAAAATTGCGAGTAAATAAAATTCTCTTTGAAAATGCAGCATTGAGTCAAACGCTTGGTAATTAATATTTTGTTAATGATTACATGACAAATAATCTCATTGGCAAGAGAGTATACGGCTGCTAAAAGTAAATTTTATTAAATGTTGTCGTGAAGGAAGAAGTGACGTCAGGCTGAAAATGTCAGCTCGTTTAAGCCAGAGGCATATGAATGGAGTTAGGCGAGGCTTCTTACACCAACTAAGCGATGACCGAAAACGTTTCCCGTTAAACGATCGGCCGCTCATTGTCAAGAGCCACGAATTAACAGCTACGAGCATAATCTCGTTAATCGCGAGGCTCCGTGATAAAGCTCGTAGGCCGCGATCCGTAAAAGAGCCGCGCGCTCGGAAAATCTCCCGGGACGAAACAATGGGTGGGAAAAAAGCCCGCAGTCTCGCTCCCTCGGTGGCGCTTTAGCCGAGCGGAAACGAGCCTTTTCCGGCACGCGCGCGCTCGCGTTCCCGAATCCAATAATTCCCTGAGGGATTACGTGTGCGCGCGGATCGAATCCGAGGCCAAGTGTCCTGTCGTTCGCCGACGTCTGTTACGAGGACGTGGAATGAGCGAAGACAGCGTCGACTATTGACTGCAGAGTTGAAGTTGGTGGACGACGCGTGGGAGCAAGTTTTGATGAGCTTTTGTGCGTTTGCCTGAGTTTGTCGAAGGAATTGTGATTAATCGCAATTGTCCTACTTAGGCATGAATTTATTTTCAATTTTTATAGTCCACTTTTGCCGACGTCGATTGTACGTCCCTTTCGATTGATTTGATTCGATTGATTCCTGAATTGATTCGATTGACAAATGACCATTTTCAGCTCGAGTTGTTTCTTTTTTTTTGTTTTCGTTAAGCATCATCTTGTTATGGGCTAAATGGCGTTTGGATCTATCGTGAAACACACGAGTGGGAGTTACGTATGTAGCCATTAAGGTAAAAGCATAGAATTCTTGTTCGTCTATTGGGCTTTTGTTCAACTATTTTCGAAATTTATTCCATTCTTATCTCTATATAATAACTTCATATTATTTACATAATTTTAAGGTGAAAATTGTGAACTATAATAATATAAGCAGTTGGCTCATCTTTGAATTTAAAAACTAAAAAGAATGCATTGTTGACTTTGGCTTAAAAATTAAAAAAAGAAAATGTTTAAATATTATGTAAAATAACGATCGAGAAACTTTTCGGCGATATAATATGACATCATTGTAGTACGAGGCATTATTATTCGTAAAACAATAGCATTAGCAAAAGTCAGGAATTTAATTTAGAAAGATAGCCGAGCCATTAGAAAAGTCGGAAACTTATAACACAGATAAATAAATACCAAACAAAGTTTTTCCCTTTCCAATGCAAGAGCTAATACGGGCCAGATGTAGAGCTATTTTCTCCCGCACTCGCCGACAATTACCGTTTTAAATCCAAGTAAGCTAATCCCTCTTCCGTGATTTTGACAAATCTCCTCGAGTTAAACATTCTTCGATTCTTCGACGTTCGTTCTTTATATCTGTGGTTATAGCTGTATATATTCGGTTATTTCCTTATCTGCCTTCGCATCTATTTCTCATTCCAGAAGTCGCTCACCGCGCACCAAAGTCTCTGAATCCGATTCCGTTACGAAACCTCTCGTTCAGCGAAAGTTTTCTTCCTCAGATTCAGCGCTGTCGAATCTTTTTTACTACTTTTCGCGTGTACATCAGTGCGCGCGCGGCTCGGTACTTGCGTGCGTGTGGCTAAGCGCGCGCATCTGCGTGTCTGTGCAAAAGAATTGAGGGAGGGTAGAGGGCTAAGCGACCCACAGCGAGATTTTACAATTTCGCTTTTGGAATTTCCGCGGTTTTTGGGGTGGGGGGGGGGGGGGGGGGGGGGGGGGGGGGGGGGAGGCGCTTTGTAGGCAAATCGTCCCAAGTAGCAAACTCGACGTTCGATTTTCCAACTTTCCCAAGTATAACGAGCATTCCTTGCTCCCTCCACTTTGTACTCGCGATATCTGACTCTATTTTCGGCTGATCTTTCGAGTTTGCAGATGTTTGCATTTTCCGGGCGCTGTCGTAGATTATTTTTACGAGCCACGGCTCCTGGCAATCGACCTCGATATCTCAAGCAATAACGTCATGAATAATTTTACAATGAAAAACGTCGAGGTGAAAGATACTTCAGTGGATAGTGTTTCTTGTAAATGCGGGTATCGACGTTATTAATTTTCCATCGAATATATGGATTACCTTATGAAATAATAATCTAAACTACACTTTTGTAATTTATTTAAATTGATTTTATCAACATAAAATTTTATATATATACATATATATATATATATATATATATATATATATATTGCAAAATAATTTCACTTTTTCGTTTTACCACTATTTTAATAAAAGTATTTATGCATTTGTAAACATAAATTCTTTTGATATCCTTGGAGAATCGAGGCGAAAAAAGTCTTTAAGATCGGTATAATTGTTGTATATTAAAATTCATTATAATACTGATCTATACGCTTGAATTTCATTAGCCTATGCGTAAAAAGTGAATATTCGTATGCCGTTGAATTATGGGTCTGTAATTCATTGTGCAAATAATTCGATCAAGTTATTGTAAATGATAAATGCAAAAAAGACAAAATAGCCCGAAGAATGCAATCGATAGAAAAATTGGAGCATCGTATGAACGTCACAATGCCAATAAAATATTCACACGAGGTCGTTGCCAAATCACAGCCGGCATTCCATTATAAGTGCTCGATTTCTGATACTGATGGACGTGGAGCCGCGCTCGCGAGTTTCTCGGAAGCCAGGATAAAGTGACAGTAGAGCTGGGACACATTTTCCGGGCGTTCGCTTACTAAACAAAGCTTGGCTGCCCTATTTGCGCATAGGTGCTCGAGACATATCATCGGAAAACCGTCAGCGAGCGTCGCTCTTTTCTTTCGCGTGCTTTGTTCGCGACGTACGTCATAAAAATACCGAATGAGACAAAAGAGCGAACGTAGGTTCGTGCGCGCTCACATTAACCTATGTGCGAGATAGATAGATAGATAGATAGATACACGCGCGCGCGCGCACACGCACACGCGCACAGAGAGTGATCGAGTGAGTGAGAGAGAGAGAGAGAGAGAGTGTGTGAGAGAGCGAGAGTGAGAGAGAGAGAGAGAGAGTGAGTGAGTGAGTGAATGAGAGAGAGAGAGAGAGAGAGAGAGAGAGAGAGAGAATTCTTGTCTAATATTCTTGTACTCACTGACTAGGGTGACGTAGGGTATACTGTGCTGCTGGTAGTGTGGCGGACTGCATGCCTCCTCCGCCCTGGAGACGGTACTTCCGGTCTGGAGCTCGACAACGTGGCCGTCCCTCTTATAGAAGGCCATGCACATGTAGCCACTTTGACTGTGAAACAGAAGAGGACGGAGAGAGTGAGTTATAACTATGACGATGACAGGGATTTCTTAAACCAACCCGAAAGTAAATGACAGGCTGAATATCGAAGGCTCATCTCGTTATTTTATTCGCGAAGATGTCCTACATATCTGGGGAGCTTCTTTTTCTTTTTAAATCAAATTTTCAATTGTGATTGACGTACATAATAGCATATGGTTCTTACTGATAATATCGATATTTTAAGGGACTAGGAAAGATGGTATTTTAGTTTTGACTTTGTAATAGCGATTCGCTTCGTTTTATGGGCAAAATGTAAATATTAGTTTAGATGGGATCTCCATTGATAAATTGATAATTGATTTTTCATTATAATTATTCTTTACAAATTATATTAATTTTATTAGCAAATTTTTCGACAAAATAATTTTTTTCCATATAATTAGTGTTAACTTCTTTGGATTATTGGTTTAACATTGGTAATTATACTGAATTTAATCTACCTGTTGTACACATTTAATATTTATTTTGTCCCAAATATATATTTATTCTTATTTGATGATTTGTGCGAGGGATGCAAAAAGATTAATAAGATTTTCAACTGAATTTTCCATTACATAACTAAATTTCAGTTACTTTAAAAATCGAAATGCCATTGCAATTTACAATATTAGAACATTATTTCTATTATACGATTAGCATTATTTATTATTATTGCTTTTATCTATATATATATATATATTTTTTTTTCCTTTCATAACATCAAGAAGCAATAATTTTTATTAATTTATCGATGTCTATAAAAGCTTTATGTGTAATTACACATGACCATTGCGTTTCGTGTAACGATATTGTTTAATTTTGTAAATTTAACCACACCTGCACATTGCCCCATTGTTCGCATTCGAAAATCGTCACTGATTGCTGTAACGGCGCGTTCAGCCAAAGCAAATCCCCCTCCCCCTGCCGCCCCAACCTAAACTCAATTACGGAAAGATTGAAATCCGATGTGGCGCAGTGACGATGGAACATCACAACCGCTTCGTTCATAAGCTCCGAAATCAAGTACGTACTTGGCCATCCTCTTTCC